CTAGGCCACGGAGGCGGGCTTCCTTTTATAGACGTTAAATTATTATTGATGAAAACTGTTAAGCATCTAGATGCATTTGGCCATGGCGAACAGGCACGTGTAGCACATGTCGTTCACATTAACCAAGTACATGTACTAGACGCAGGTACGCATACATTATGTGTATCTCGTATTCACCAGTCAGCACACTTGCATGTTAAAATGGCATTATCCTCATAACGGGAACACCTCATTGTGCCCTCACCTATTGTTATAGGGGGGCGGCCGGGTAGCCCAGTGGTTAAAGCGTTCGCTCGTCACGCCGAAGACCCGGGTTCGATTCCCGACATGGGTACAATGTGTGAAGCCCATTTCTGGTGTCCCCCGCCGTGATATTGCTGGAATATTGCTAAAAGCTGCGTAAAACCATACTCACTCACTCACTATTGTTATAGGGTACAGGTGTAGTCAGCCATGGTTAAGTGGGTACCAATAGGGGGATTACCTATAGTCTGTTGCATGTCTATATAGAGAAAATTACTATCTGTCAGATTCATAAAATTTCATATACATTTCAACAGTACATTCACTTTACAGAAGCATATATTTAATAAAATTTCATATATTTCATATTGATAGATTATACTATATACTTTAGCCTTACGCAGAGGGCATCCATTGCTGAACACAACAACACTGAACTACTATAACTTACTTCCAGCCCATGCTTACTACAAAATGTACCCAAAGTATTTCGTTGCCTTTGGAGGTTAATGACTGTGTCTGTCACGAGACATCATAAAACATAACAATAACTTCAGATCTTCTATTCTATTGACTGGTTTACAAATATACCTTTTTGTCTATCATACATTACATACACTAATTTATTTGTCATGAAGATAAATAGTACTGGGCTTCATATACAACCTTGTCGCACTCCACACTTAGGTAGCTGCTATGCCCACCTTAACATTCCCCATACATACTTTTAAGAACAAAAAACCCGCTTTATCATGACATCCTTTGCATAAAGCATGATTATACAAAAGTTTGTATCGATAAACGAGTTAGAGGTCCTTTGTGAAAGTCGATAAATGTCTTTCCTTTGATTTGCTAAAAAAAAAAAATTGATTTCATGCTTGTAAAACAAATATGTTATCTAGTCTATAGTAGAACAATGTCCATGGAAACCTACCTGAGATTCATATATTTTATCATTTTATTCTGTCCCCTTTCGTATACCTTTTTTGAATAATGCGTGTAAACATTTTACCCAATTAAAACGGATATGCCTCTATAATAATATCATTTGAGTTTCCCTTCTTAAAACATGGAATAATTAATTGACTTGACTTACATCACACATATAGGTATGTTCTGCTGTATACTCAACTACTATCAAACTCTTTTTTTCTCAGACCCGCAAGCTGCATTCGAAAATGTTTTGAAATTTCAGCCAAACATCAGGTGTAATTCCGTGGTCTTAAATTAATGCATTTTCCTTGCATAAAGATTTTACAATCATCATCATTTACTGCCAATTTAATTTCCTGTTCAACGTTTTTTGTATACACGTGTTACTTTTTGTCACATCACATTAAGATCTGCTTTCGATGGATGATAAATATTTCTTAATCTATCTAGTGCTTTATGGGTTGTCTGGTTTGCTGCAACTAAACATGACTTATCAAACTATTTATGTTTCCTAGCAGAAGGCTTAGCGGAGTTCTTATTATCACTGTAATAGTGCGCCGCTGACTTGCTAATATCAGTTAATGTATTAACAATAAACCCGTTGGAAAGATCCTACTTATCAACTGGGTAAAACTCTCTCTCCCCCCCCCCCCCCCCCCGTGAAGATCCGGGGTAGTACAGGTCTTCAGCAACCCATGCTTGCCCTAAAAAGCGACTATATTGTCGTAAGAGGCGACTAACGGGATCGATGCTCATGTTGTCAATCACTGGATTGTCTGGTCCATATTGCTGGAATATTGCTGAGTGCGGCGTTTAACAAGATCACATTAGTGTTAAGATGCCAGAAAATAAACCACTACACTTGTACCAAACTGACTGACACGCGTAAAAAAGCCATCTTCATCACCTTCCATTTAAGATTTGAAACCACACAATTCTAACAAGGTAAAACCCAAATATCTCACTTTCTTCTCGTGAGAGTATCTACTTTTACGAAATCATCAATCTTATAGTCATTAACTAAATGTAACTATTCTGAAATAATTTCGTTGATAAAATCGTTTTGATTTCCAACTCAAACGTTCAAGTCTTCTATCAATTTGAAGTTATAGTTGCCTAGGGTGCTCACTTCTCTGCCGCGTGTGTGTCTAGCGTCTCCATATCAGGATCACTAGTAGCATCATGCAGGGTTGTGTTTTCGTGTAACATTTAACAGCAGTTAAAATAAAACGCAAGCCCCCCGGTTTAACCTCTAAAGAGGCACGATTCGCTCAGTTCCGTGCCATCTCCACCTGTAATGGCGTACTTAGATAAGCTCGCAGACAGTGCCACAGTTCCCCCAGAATCATGTACGTGCATCGTGGCTAGACAAGTGAAAGGTCCCTGGACCCTCAGGGAGGTGGAGAGGTGTTATATAGCGGCACCAGGGAGGTGGGGAGGTGTTATATAGCGGCACCAGGGAGGTGGGGAGGTGTTATATAGCGGCACCAGGGAGGTGGGGAGGTGTTATATAGCGGCCCAAGGGAGGTGGGGAGGTGTTATATAGCGGCACCAGGGAGGTGGGGAGGTGTTATATAGCGGCACCAGGGAGGTGGGGAGGTGTTATATAGCGGCACCAGGGAGGTGGGGAGATGTTATATAGCGGCACCAGGGAGGTGGGGAGGTGCTATATAGCGGCACAAGGGAGGTGGGGAGGTGTTATATAGCGGCACCAGGGAGGTGGGGAGGTGTTATATAGCGGCACCAGGGAGGTGGGGAGGTGTTATATAGCGACACCAGGGATAAAGGAGTTATGCTGTATAACGGCCAGAGGGAGGTGGGCAGAGAGTTGTTATGTAATACAGTGTGCGCCAGTCTGGAAGGTTGCCCGATGTGTCGGGGGGTCGTCACCGCCGAAGAGGGATCAATGGATGTCATGAATAAACATTGAATACAATCAAACACAGGTCGGACTCGCTCACAGTCAAAGCCCAACACTTTTCACTGACCCATAACGCTGGGAGCGTCTGGAGAGAGATGTCAGATGAAGCCAACAGTAAAGTGACAAAAAAATGATAAAATTATAATAAATGTCAGGAGGACCTGTTTTCAATCAGCTCATATCTCAATAAGATAGTTTTAAACTGCGACCTACATTTCCTTGAAATTTCATTCACATAACGTACATTGGAATTGATCGGAAGTATTTGGCTGACGTTACTTCCCAGAAGAAACGGTAGCTGGCTGGCTTTGTGACAGAGGATCATTAACATCTCTCTGAAGCGATGGAGACCTCAAACTCCACGCAGGTTATGCTCTTCCCGTCTCGCTGTTGATATCCGACATTTTTTTATACTTAATGACATTGTAAATAATTTGAGGAAACTGTCTTAGCATAAATATTCTATCACTTGTCTTATCGTTATACGTTTTTTCGTTCTTTTGTCGCTCTATCCAAATATAATTCACATCTTTTAAAAGGCATACCGTATAAAGGACTGTCACTTCCATATACATAATTTAACCTTTTTATAATAATGATAACACAATTTGATCAATGTTTAGTCGATCAAAGACCTATTTCAGGAAGCTTTAATACTGTTATGGCTATCGATGTGCGTAAGTTCTCGGTGTGATCGGTCGAGTTGGGGAGTAAAGTGGCGCTTGCTGTGGCTCCAATGGGCTAATCAGTGGTATGTCAGTCTACCATACGTCGTATACGATTTCCGGACGCCCCCCTCCCCCCCCCCCCCCGGCTCACACACCACCCTAAGTTCACCCCTCCCCATTTTCTCCCCTCCCCGCCCCCGCGGTTCCACCGAGCTACGTCCGTAGCTCCGTCGCCGTATGGAGCTTGTCTCGTGTCCCTCCTCGCCGCTGATGTGAACGTGTCATTAACCCAGGGCGGAATAAAACCATCCACGGTAAAGACAGTAGGCATCCGAGCGCTCATCAAACCTCCATCCTGTCATTGATCAGGCTCTCTCGATGAATACAATTAGATAACAATCACGGCCGTCATCAAGCCACTATTGTAGAATTCATATTTCCATATTTACGATATGTAGATTAATGTCACATTGGTATTGGCAGCCAGGGAAAGAACGAGTGATTTTCCTACATGGAGGAACTATTCAACAGTGCCGTATATATTCGCCCTCGGGCCAACTTAATAGCTGTGCAAATGAAAATACGCTGAGACAATCTAGCCTGGAAGAATTACACTCCCATCGATAGCTTGTCTCCCCCGAGCGCCGGACGGAGAGAGAGAGGGGGAAAACGACAATCCCGATCGACTGCCAGCCTGTCTTCTATCTCACCGTGCTGTTCCCGCCCTCACTCCCGCCCGTAACACCCTCTACCTAGGCTCTCGTCTCAGAGACACACGCTCAGTCCCACGGGGCGTCACGCGCACCTGCCAACGTCAGCGGGTGGGAGAGAGTGTGTGTGTGAGAGAGAGAGTGTGAGAGAGAGAGAGACAGTAGTCAGTCGTGCTTGACGATACTTCAGTGACGGAACGTTCGCTGCCACCTGGCGACGCGGCGGTGTGTCGTCTGCTCTGTTTGACTTGTTAGACGTTGGATCTTAGTCAATATTTCTTAGGAGAAGTCTTCAGAACGCCGAGGCGCGTTAGTTCGTGGGCTGATTGGTGTTAATTTTCCAAAAGGTGTGAGGAATGATCTTTACTGGAATATAGCTTGTGGAATTTTTCAAACTAGGTCTAAAACTGTTTCCCAGGCGGCTTCATGCCCCATCTGCCAGGAATGGCGGCTCACTTTATACGGGATATTCCCTTAAAGGTGCTTCATAGGCGCTCGGGTGATGAACATGTTACTCTACTTCAGGCCTGTTACGACAACCCACTGTTTGAGGAGAACGATGGAAAGGGGTGCAGGGGTAACAAGACCCCACCCCCCTCCGCCGCGGACCAGAAGGCTCAGGCTGCACGTGCCAAGGACTATATGCACTGCCGACCTCCTCAGCCTCACGAACAGATCACCTTCAAATCACCCAAATCTAGCCGACGACGTCACATATGGATTATCGCCTTCGTCATCCTCGCTGTCGCCATCGTCGCTGTCGTCGTTGGGCTGCTTGTCCATTTCCTCAGTGAGTACATTTTCGTTTTGTGCACATTACACAATATTGTACATATTACATCACAGATCCTTTACGAAACACGTTTTTCTACCTTAAGGGTTTTCAAAAAAAAATTTAAAACTAAAGGAACCCCCAGCCCCAAACTTTTCTCCAAACGTATAACCAAAGAGAAAAACACAAAGAAAACGCAAAAAACAAACAAAAGGTAGAAAAACACAGTCCCAAACACCTTCTGATACGACATTTTATCACCGTAGAACTTCCGCTTCCGGTATATATACTAGGGCACGCCTAAGGGTTCTAAACCGGAATTAGGTAATTTTATGTCCCTTTCTGTGAGCAACAAAAGAAGAACGTATAAAGTTGACAGTGAAAACAAACGTAGTTTAAGAAGTAGCTTTTTTATTCATCACTGTCATTCGTGCTTGGTGGAAACTGCTCTCTAGTACAATACCCTACCCCTTAAAAGGCTCTCTTAAAGTTATTCCAATGTGCCATGAGCCAAGGAAGACATGCGACCCGGACTTGCGGGTGTGTGTATCATGTTCAAGGCCTTTATAGTAGTCTTTTAGTGTAGGAAACGAAAGTGCCTGTCTGGCTGATTTATATTTCAGAATAGAGAAAAAAAGTCCATGCTGGAGAATCTGTCGATACCTGTCAACTAGTCATTATCTTGTATAATGTAAATCCCGTTTGATATGGACTGGCTATTATGTATAATCTAATTTCCAAGAGAAGTCAAATTGAGATAAAAATCGTTTAGGATTAGCCTTTGGCTTAAAACCCATCTTGGTCAATTTTAGAATTCGACTGTTTTTTAACTAAAGTATTTCTGTTTAAGATAAACAGGTGTAATTATTGTAATTATTAACGGAAGTGTTATTTATATTTACATGATATCATTACTCTGCCATGGTTGGACCACAACTGGAGCCTTTTCAACATGGCTCTTGCTTCAGGGAAAAAACAAAACGCAACAGATATCCTCAACATAAACTCACTATATATGGTCAGAGTCCGTTCTATGCTCACAGTCCGCTCTATGCTCAAAGTCCGTTCTGTACCAACACTCCGTTCTATGCTAACAGTCCGCTCTATGCTCACAGCCCGTTCTGTACCAACTCTCCGTTCTATGCTAACAGTCCGCTCTATGCTCACAGCCCGTTCTGTACCAACTCTCCGTTCTATGCTCACAGTCCGCTCTATGCTCACAGCCCGTTCTGTACCAACTCTCCGTTCTATGCTAACAGTCCGCTCTATGCTCACAGTCCGTTCTATGCTCACAGCCCGTTCTGTACCAACTCTCCGTTCTATGCTAACAGTCCGCTCTATGCTAACAGTCCGCTCTATGCTCACAGCCCGTTCTGTACCAACTCTCCGTTCTATGCTAACAGTCCGCTCTATGCTCACAGTCCGTTCTATGATCATAGTCCGTTCTGTACCAACTCTCCGTTCTATGCTAACAGTCCGCTCTATGCTCACGGCCCGTTCTGTACCAACTCTCCGTTCTATGCTAACAGTCTGTTCTATGCTCACAGTCCGTTCTATGCTCATAGTCCGTTCTGTACTAACTCTCCGTTCTATGCTAACAGTCCGCTCTATGCTCACAGCCCGTTCTGTGCTCACAGTCCGTTCTATGCTAACAGTCCGCTCTATGCTCACAGCCCGTTCTGTGCTCACAGTCCGTACTATGCTGTCCGTTCGCCAAGCTGTGGCAGCTCCCCTGAACATGCGGCATGTACTCCTGGATGGATAATCTCTTATACCACGGAAGAAGAAGTCAATGGGTTTAAGGGGATTTTGGCCATCGCGTTAATTCTGCCATAGCCGCGGGGATGATATATCTGTCTGCTGAATGGACGGACCTCACGCCATCATCCTCCACACATAACGTCTCCAACATCGCTTATCCAGTCTGATAGCTTCTGAAGTACAGCATCCCAACACGCACTACGACCCTGATACCGAAAGATGAAAAACGCAACATTTAAAAAAATACATTTATCTCGCGCCTTCAAAAAGTCAGTGCCTATATCATACAGTGATGTAACGTCGCCCGGATTTGCACCCAGGAGAACGGCCTATGGTGCGTTTTTTAACACATGCTCACATATTCAACTCGAAAATACCCAAGTCAATACTCGCATGTTGTGCTGCTGTGTTTAATTGTGTTTGTTAGTCTAATGGTTTCTGTTGGATGACGTGAGTGCCGTGCAGCGACGTGATTCTACGTCGTAAACCTCGTCAGAGATCTCACATCATATTGATTCACACAGTAGGCACTTCACGCGCTTTCTGTTATTTGTTTTAAATCAAACCTGATGTATGTTAAGGGATACGGCAATTAGTCAACACAATACCGGACGTTATCAGAGAGTTCGTAATTACAATAGGCGCTGACGTAGGCATGCCCAACGTGTTGTCTGTTTCTGGTCTGTTCTGCCATCGTCTATTGCACGTACACGGGATCCGGGGCATAGGTTGAAAGTGGATGCATTCTATTTGCATGCTTAAGTAGTAGGAGCAGTCACGTTTCGTAATACATACGGGGATTAAGTCATGGATGTTCGCAACGGATGCTAGTAAGTAAATGAGGATTTACCTTGCAGTTATATCACGGCGACCGGAAGTCTAATCTGTCTGGAGCCGCTTAAACCAGTGGTCGATAATGTCAGCATCGATTTCACGCCGTGTCAGGAAACGAAACTACGAAACTCTGTAGATTCACTGATATGAGTTGAGAATTCGAGCGAACGATTAAATCACATGGCTACCCCCAAATCAACCTGATTTGTTAGATTTAAAACAGTTCCTGTGTGCATTTCGAGAACACGTATCTACATTACTCTGTTGAAACCAGTCAGGGATGCGCCAGTCGTCAAATACACAGAGCATTGTACATTTCTTCAGAGCAATGTGACCATACATTCAGTATTTGTTACAAAGGTCTCAACTCTGAGAATAGCGTTCACGAACATCGATAGCTATCCCTACCCTGAAAGAATCCGATATCGTGCCATTTGATTTTACTAAAAACACTTCATACAGTGGTTTCAGATATACTTCAAAATGTGTTGGAATACTTCATTCGGTCTCTTTTATACCACAGTTGAATTGACAATATTAGACTCCTATTATCATGACAACTATTTTAAATGTTTATTGATATTCTTCATTTCTGTGACGGGGGCACGGGTGGCTCAGTCGTCTAAGGCGCCGCGATTCGCTGTGCAGAGTTGCGTCCCTTGGGCACGCCACACCTATGAGTGTGGGTTCAAATCCCGGTTCACCCCGATTACGTTTCTAGGTTTGTTAACACCATACCCGTGCTCGTGGGTTTCACCGAAGTGGTAAACGTCTGAGACCTGCATCACTTCGGGCTTTCCTCCCACATTAAGCTGACACGCCGTGATATAACTGGAATACTGTTAAAAGCGGCGATAAACTCACTCACTCATTTGATTGACAATTGTTATAGTGTGGTGATATGGTTAGTAATACACTTAGTCAACCGATCCCCTTATACTCCTTTGTTTCTAGATCCGCGTATTGACGCTTAGTGACATCATTAAACTCAGCGCTTGTATTATTGTCACTATCATGTATATATAAAATGGTCGGACAAAATTGATATTGTCAATAGCTGTGATTTAAGGTCAAGAATGAGGGAACTGGCGACTAAGTTCAAATAATTTCCTTTTCACGAGGAATTAGTGAGTGAATATTGCTTGTCTAGCTTTGAATCCAGTCGCGCCTGCATACTCTGACGTTGTCATGCGGTACACTTGTGTGAACACAGTATTACAGTCGCCTCCTCAGCTACCACTTTCACCATTGGTGCCATGCCGCTGACGGCAATGTGACATTTGTACAAGGCTCTAAATGTGTCCCGAAGTTGATCTTCAAAGACCCGTTTCATCAGTGTTGTGTTCATTTCACTTCCATATTCATTACAACGGAGCCACGTAGATTGTGTGGCGTACCTACGACCCTTGTAACACCAGCAATCGCCGATCATGAAGACAGAGGAACGCCATGTGCCTTTGTTGCAGGTTTTCAACAAAAAGTCCTTCCTGGATAGCCTGGTTGTCCTGAAGGCAATGCGGGTTAAAACATAATGTTTGGTTCCTCCTCGACACAAGGGTCGTTTGTCTTAAATCTTTGACTGAATAAATATTCTCACGCCAACATTCGTAACTGACGCGACCCTAGACATGTTTTCTCTTCTTCTGCGACATAGCAGGATAGGCGCAGTTTTGTCCGAGATCGATTATAAAAGATAAAAGATCCATATTCTAAATAGTGTTCAGAATAGCCTTACCACAAATACCACCGGGCTGGAAACATCTGCATTCAAGAGTAACATCTAATAATATCAAACTATGTGTTGGCGGGGGGATCCCGATGGACTTTCGGATCGGATCGGATCATGTCATGGTCCCTATGTGATTTCATACGAATGAAATGGTTGTAAGTTTTACCGTTAAACAACGCCACTTACTGAACAACCAAAGCTACATAACGCGGGGTGTCATTGGCTTATAATGAGGTCGACATTTCAATGACTTGTCAAAGGGGAAACTTATTTCCAAATGAAGTTCAAGATCGTTAGTCGACGCGGCGATGGATGTCGTGATGATTCTTCTATATGATGTTACGTTTATGTTGATGCTCCCAACGTTTATGGCAGCCTCTGTGGTCTAGTGGTAGAGCGTCCGCCCGGAGAGCGGAAGGTCCGGGGTTCGATCCCCGGCCGCGTCATACCAAAAGACGTTAAAAGATGGTACTTCATGTTACCCTGTCTGGCACACGGCATTTAGAGGCTAAAACAAGGACTGGTCGACTCGGAGTCGGTTTACTGTGTCTGAGTGGGGTATTCATGTTAAACTGCGGCATGGTATCTCATAGGGCTAGCACTATAAATCGGCATCAGTCTGGACGTGTACAAGCAGCCACACAAACACACACGTGCATGCTCGTCGCTATATAAGTGCAATAACCTTGGACGC